ATTGGGCCTAAAAGTTATGGTATCATTAGTGGCCCCCATGTGTCTAAGGTAAGGCTCGGGGTTAGGTTCACTGTAGTGAGTCCACATGCATAGGCAACACGTGTACATACAACAATTAAAATATTGGAAGGAACATGCATTTCACTTGGGGAATGTGTAGCGTCGTTTAATGATGAGGCGTCACACGTACATCTTCATGTCATAACTACCCTCAATGAATAGTTTCTCTCCATTTTCACTTTTAATTTCATTTTCACCATAGCCTAAGAAGCAAAGAGCTTAAATACCTCGACTTAGAGGTACCACCTTAGAATTTTTTCTTAATTTATTCCTAGTTTTAGTTGCATTCTCGGAGGGCATATGATTCGAAGTGGGAAAGAGATACAGAGTGTGGAAAGGGAAAGGTTAGTCATGGCCCCCAAGGACTTGGTTTCCAATTTTTACAATAGAAGATCTCGGGGTGATGACTACGATGGGGATGAGATCAAGCACTAGGTATGTACCATAAGAATACCAGTTACGAAGGGAATAGGAGTATACGCCTAGAAGTTTTCGACATGCTATGCCTATACAACGAGCACGTGGTGTTGGTTGTGGCTTGAGAGTTCAATATCAAAGAGAGGTGCACAATGAGGGTCGCGGGGCGTGAGGATATGTCACGACATTGTAGATGGGGCAAGATAGTTGTCTTTAAGGACTCCCTTAAAGGAGGCTTTAGGCGGCCCGCCCTTTATCGTTGCACTCCTGACAATGTGTGAGCTTACCTCGAGAAAGATAGCCCCAAATGGTGGGAGGTTGTCTAACTATCTTCTCATAGCATGTCATTATCTGTCCATGACCCTAAGCCTAGACCACTTTAAGAAGGTGCTCGATCTGAAACATTTACATAATATGAATAGCATATATGTATCCTCAAAGAAATGGTTCAATACCTCGAGGTCCCAAGCTCACCCAGGGCTGGAAGGGGTGTTTCTTTAGACTTATTTCTTTGTATGTGTGTGTATATATATATATATTCTAAAAGGCGCTCCTAGGCGTGAGGCGAGGGTGAAACGCCACGCCTTGGTAGGGAATGCGAAATTAAGTAATCAACTTAATGTGCGATTAGATGTGTCTTCTTAATTTTTTTCATTTTTTAAAGTCTTTTATTTGACTTTTGTTTCAAGTTTTTAAATATTTTATCTGTACAAAAGTCAAAAAATGGAAACTTTGAAAGTATGTATAAAGTTTCTATAAATGTATTAAGTATGATTTGTCTAGTTCAAAGTTGAAACTATGAAAAAAGATCTAATTTTTGTATTTCTAAAATTTTATAATTGATTAATTGTAGAAATTATGAAAAAAATATAGTATTTTGTAATTTAAATGCTTGGTTTGTATTATTTTATTTATTAAATGATTTTTAGAATGATTAAAATTTTAAAATAATATTAAAAATAAGAAAACAATTTTTTTACACCTATTTGCCCATGAATATAATGTGAATCTTATGAACCAAAGAAAATCGAATAAAAAAGAGAGCAAAAAGGGTTCAGGGTTTCAAAAAAAACCAAATGCTTATTTTACAAATGAGAATACAATGACTTGATAGTCTAAAAGCCTCTATTTGACTTCCATTTTTTTCGAAACTCATTTTCAACCACACATTTTTCTATAAAAAAATATTACACGTAAATCGAAAAATTATATTTACTTTTTAACTACACAATCTCCAACAAAACACTATAAAAATGCATTTTTTGCCAAAAAATGGGGCTCAAACAAAGGCTAATAAGCCAAATATCTGACTACCCTAACAAAGCTAGTAAAATGACTACTATCCTTCTAGCAATATAAAATAGTACATATTTCTCACCTTTCCCCTCACATCTCCCTTGCTGCTCGGTAGCCTCATGAGCAACAAGGAGATGCATTGAGGAAGGTTGGAAAAAATAATAATAATAAAATGAAAAACTAAAAGTTGAGCGGAAGGATTAAGGTATATAGCAACAATATGAGGAAGAATCAGGATTACAGAATATGAAATTAGTTATGGAATATCAATAAAAGTGGAGTTATTCTAAATAAGATTGATGAGAAAGTTATTTTCCATTTTTTTTTTTTCTAAAAGTTTAATCCTCAATTAAGGAATTTCATTTGTATAATTCATATTTGTTGGTGTAGTTATAGAAAGTCAATTTGAGACAATATGCATGTTCTCTGAGTACTTTATATCCTTGCGATTATGACCAATACTTTAAACAATTTAATATTTTCTAAGAACTTAGACGATATTCATATCTGTATTTCTGCGGTTTCAAACAATTTAGTTGGTACAAATTAGAATTTAGATTTTAATTTAAGTCAAAGTTAACAATTAATTTTAATCACATATTTTATATGATTCACAATTATTCAACTACACGTTTTATTAATTTTTATCAAAATCTATTAAAAATATAAATTTAATTCTGACCAAACAATGGTTTAATATTTTAATAAATATCCTTGTACAAATCGTGAACCTAAAATCGAGCAACTAAAAAGGGAAAGAAAAGATGAGGTTTTTGTGTGTCGTTTGTTTGTTTGCTTCCAAAAGGGTAACTTGTATATTCACGAGAACCTTTGTTTAGTGCACGAAAACAATTGCAGCGGCCACCTCGTTTAGAAGCATCGTATAATTAGATTCCTCTCTTTGACCGGTTGTCTTTCGGTACAATTACACACGTCGATTATTGAGTCGTGCGTTTGTGGATCAAGCGGATCACAAGCCACCGTTTGCGCCGAGCTGCACTGTCATTTCGAACCGAAGCGTCCGTTTGGCCCCCATTATTTCACATTATAATGAGATATATAATAATTTTTTTAAGAATGCGTGTCTGAAAAAGAAAGCAAAATTTTTAAGTTTGCGTATAATATTATGTTATTGGAGATTGTGTTTAATAAGAAGAGAAAAAATAAATTATAATTTAATAAAGAATAATGAGGGGCAAAACAGGGCAGGGGCTAAGACTGGTCCCGAATTACAGCTTTGAGTTCGAGGTGTATACAATACATGGATTCAACTCTGCTCGGTTCGGTTTGTTACTTCACTTGTAATTTTTTTATTTTTTTTCAATTTTTCTTTCTACTATTTTGATGTCTACATGTATATATAATCACATCTTTGATTTACCTAAGAATAATTTTTTTAGTAAATTTTGATAATAAAATATACAGTTGAAAAGTTGACAAAAATCATATTCCTAAGAAGTGTGAGATTAAAAATAATTTTTTTGAAAAAGAAGTTATAAAAACTGGTGATTGGATCATATTTTATGATACAGCGGGTCTTATAATAGTTAGTTGAGTTTTAATAAAGAGATATATATTAGTGTCAATTTTAATTGTTATCTACCCATTAACGAATATAAAATTGAGAAAGAACCATTCACGATATTTGTACTACTCAAGCAAATTATCCATACTAGGAGAAATCTAATTCGAACTAGATTTGCACGATATTTGTGTCTTTTACTTCTTCAAACTAGATTGTGCATTTGCACGATATATTCGATAGATTAAACTCAATAAATGATACTTTAAAAGTACTCACTCCGTTCCAATTATATAGGCTGAGTTTCATTTTTTTCTTGTCCCAAATATATAGGTCTGTTTCCTTATGTAGAATATTTTGTTGTGTTCCTTTACCAATATACCCTTATTAAATTTTCTCCACTTAATATGCCAACTTCTTGAAATCATTCAAATACACACATTTCCCACTTTTTGGAAACATGAAACAACTCTCATTTCTTCTTCTTCTTCAAATTTTTTATTAGTTCCAACAATAATTTAGTTTTACATACTGAAAATTAAATAGGGGTAAATTAGGAAAGATTTTGACAAAAATTAATTTTTCAATGACATTAAAGAAGTTTTCTTAATCCGTGTGAAAAACGAAACAATCCTGTATAATTGGGACGGATGGATTAGTTTTCTTGCTTATTTTACAACGCATAGAAGCACGAGAGAAATTTACAACAAAATTTGCCATTATTCTTTCTAATTACCTACTTATATTGTAGTATGTACAATGCATTATTTCCTTTCTCACCTTCTCAAAGGTTATCCATATATGAACATCATTTTCCAATATACACTTCACCCCTCCCCCACAACCCTAACAACTCGCACATATATCTGCACTAGCTACCTTAATTAATATGTGGAATATTCATCTTCACGTTCAATTGAATACTCCATAGGCCAAAAACATTACACACACATATTTAAGATGCTAGTTAATTCTTATTTGTATTAGAGGTGTACTTTGTCGAGATTGGATCCGATCTATAACTTTTTGCGACTTCAGTCATTACAAAAAAAAATGCCCACCTAGGATGCGAATTCAAGAGGCAGGGTCCGCGCAATACTGTATACGTTATTCCCTCTTTGGTTTAGTTAAAAAGTTTATTAAAAAAAAATCAAAATCAAAAATTAATTTTAATTGCGCATATCATGGTATGTATATCTTTTATCAACTTTTTAATCATATATTTTATCAACTTTTGTTAAAATCTAATAAAAATTTGATTTTTAGCATTACCAAACAGGGACGTAATTTTAATTAATATTTCCTCACCTAACGAAAGTCCATATTTGAAGTGAAATTTGGATTAAAAATATATTGATTGATTCGAATAAAAATTTGTATGGAGTAAAGTCAATATTTAGATAACCGAAATCATACACAAAAGATACACATTTATGCTACACAACGAAGCCGTGAGCTGCAAGTAACAGCTAGGAACTAGTTTCTTTATTTCTTAGGGAGAGAAACGGGTACCACACTCAACACAGTGACGCCATCTGACAACATCCAATCAAAAAATGTACTCCTTCCGAAATCAATCATTTCAGATTTTTCCTCTTTAAATTCCTTCCCAATTCCCTGCTCTTCCCTAGTTTTACTTTTTCTCTATCCCAACTCTTTAATTCTTAAGCTCAAAATAGTTCTTATCTAAGCAACCCATTTTTCAATGGCAGAAGAATTTCAAGAATCTGAAGTCATATTTCAAGAAAATTTCGAATATGAAGACTTCGAGGAGTACAGCAATGTTCAAGTTCATTTGAATTCCCGAGAATTCCCAAGAATAACAAAGGGCAGAAGGAAGAAGTTGAAGAACAAGAAGAATTCAGTTCCGGTGAATATACCGGAAAATGCGAATGGCAATTCTTGGTTTCAATGTGTGGATTCTGACTTTTTCGATGAAAATATTGGCGATGACGGAGAAATGGTCCCACCCCACATCATTATCGGACGGCGTCTCGCCGGGAAAATGCTGGCGTTTTCAGTCTGCGCCGGGATTAATGGGAAGAGACTTAAAGGAAGGAATTTGTTGGAAGTCCGAAATTCAATTCTCAGGATGACAGGATTTCTTGAAACATGACTTCTTCCGGGAAACGCCAGGAATAACATACAACAGAAGAACCTGAAAAAAAAAAACTACCATTTGTGTGTTTGACTTTTCATCTTTTGATTGTTTCAGAATATTCAGAATGTACATAATTGACTGTAGCAGACTGAAAATATTATTTTTCTTTTTCGTTGTTATGTATTATAAATAAATACACCCTAGGTTTGTTTCATTTTTCACACGATTAAGAAAATTTCTTTAATATTATTGAAAAATCAATTTTTGTCAAAATCTTTCCTAGTTTATCCATATTTAATTTTCAGTATGTAAAACTAAATTATTGTTGGAACTAATAAAAAATTTGAAGAATAAGAAGAAATGAGAGTTGTTTCATGTTTCCAAGAAGTGAGAAATGCGTGTATTTGAATGATTTCAAGAAGTTGGCATATTAAGTAGGAAAAATTTAATAAAGGTATATTGGTAAAAGAACACAATAAAATATTCTGCATTTGGAAACAGACCTATATATTTGGGACAAAAGAAAAAGAAAACTCAGCCTATATAATTGGGATGAAGGGAGTAATTTTTTTGATTATCTTGTTCTATATAAATAATTATATAGCTTGAGAAGATCCATTTCAAGGTGATCTATCAAAGTTTCTAGGATTGTTGTACTGTTCATGTTTCCTAAAAAAATTGTTTGCTCTCGATCGTACTAATTATTCACAGCTAATCTATTCAGTGATATAGATATTTACGGGAGATTTGCTTAAAAAGTATAGTCGACCATAATGTTTGGTAAAATATCATATATCAATACTAATTGTTCAAATAGCTTGAAGTATATTTGATCATATATTAAAAGTCTTAAATATCCTTAAATTGAAATGACTAAAATGTTCACTTTGGAATTCAATATTTACCATATCCCCAAACATAAATCCATAAATTCTTCCCCCCCCCCCCCCCCCCCCCCCC